GGCAGGACCCACCGGCTTGCTGCTCTGGGATGGAGGGCTCTGGCTGCTTGCTGGCTGGAGACTGCCTGATTCCTAGAGGTCACCTTAGGAGCCTCTTCCTGTGGCAGCTTCCTTACCAGCAAGGACTCTCTCTCTCTCTTCTGTCTATCAGGATGGAATGGGGGGAGGTGGGAGATATCTCCTGGCCTTTGCCCAACTCTGCTTCCCTGCTGCACTCCAGAGAAAGGGGTTTCACAAGGCAGGACACCAGTGGACCGCATCTGCTACTGTAGACCTGGGCCCTGAAGTGTGGGAGGCATCAATCTGGAGGAGGAGAGAAGGGCTGGGGTGGGGGGCAGTTGAGAGGGTGGAGGGATGGAGAGGGGCGCAGCCAGCCCAGGCCCTGTGAAGCCCTAAGGATAAACACCAGGGGAATAGGAAGCCAGACATGGAAGGGCACCATCTGTAATTCTAGCTACTCAGGAGGAGATCAGGTATATAGTTTGAGACCAGCTCAGTGAGAAAGAAGTTAGCAAAACCCCAGGTCAGTTAATAAGCTGTGTCTGGAGGGATGGGCCTATGGTTCCAGCTATGCAGAACGCATAAACAGCAGGAGCTGGTAAAGTTAAAAACGCAAAGTCCAATTTAAAATAGTGATTAAAACAAAAACAAAAACCTAGGGGCTGGGTGCCGGTGGCTCACGCCCGTAATTCTATCTACTCTGGAAGCTGAGATTTGAGGATTGCAGTTCAAAGCCAGCTTGGGTAGAAACGTCCACGATATTTATCTCCAATTAACAACCAAAATGCCAGAAGTGGAGCTGTAGCTCAAGTGGTAGAGTGCTAACCTTGAGTGAAAAAGCTAAGGGACAGTGTCCAAGGTACTGAGTTCAAGATTCAGTACATGCACAAAAAAGATCTGGGGGTAGGGGCGGAGAAGGTGGCTCAGTGGTAGAGTGCTTGCCTTGCATGCCTGAGGCCCTGGGTTCGATTCCTCAGCACCACATAAGCAAAAAGCCGGAAGTGGCGCTGTGGCTCAAGTGGTAGAGTGCTAGCCTTGAGCTAAAGAGCTGAGGGACAGCGCCCAGGCCCAAGTTCAGGCCCCACCCAAGACTGGACCCAAAAACAAAAAGATCTGGGGGCATGGCTCAAGTGGTAAGGAATCTGCTTAGCAAGTGCAGGGCTCTGAGTTCAAACTCCAATACTACAAATAAAAGGGGGGAGGGAAGCAGCAGAGGACCATCTGAGGCTTTTGTTGTTTCTTTGTTTTTGTGCCACTCCTGGGGCTTGAACTCAGGGCCTTAGTGCTATCCCTGAACTTTTTTGCTCCTCTAGTGCATTACCACTTGAGCCATAGCTCCACTTGCAGCTTTTCAGTGGTTAGTTAAAGATAGACTCTCAGAAACTGAAATAAATAGAATATAGACAATGATTTTGGTCAGCATAAAATGGAGAACCTCAGCCATCTGCCTGTGGCTCACATCTATAATCCTAGCTACTGAGGAGGCTGAGATCTGAAGCCGAGGATCACAGTTCAAAGCCAGCCCAGGCAGAAAAGTCCATGAGACTCATCTCTAATTAACAACCAGAAAACTCGAAGTGGCACTGTAGCTCAAAGTAGTAGAATGCTAGCCTTCAAACAGTACAATTAAAAAAATAATACTTGAGAATCTCTCTGGTGTTGATCCTTTCCCTGCAAGTTTCCAGAACTTTCCTTATTTCTTGGTGGGGAGGGGTGGGGTGGAGGTAGGGGACTAGAGCTTGAGCTCAAGGCCTCAGAATCTTACTCTTGCTCAGAGCTGGTATTCTCTAGTTTTGCTGGTTAATTAGAAATTCAAGTCTGGAGGATTTGTCTGCCTCACCCAGCTTCAAACCTTGATCCTCCAATCTCAGCCTCCTGAGTAGCTAGGTATGCAGGCATGAGCTACCCAGAGAGTACGCTGCCTTATTTCTTGGCTCTTTTTGGTGTTAGAGAAGAGGTCTAAAGGCCTGAGCCCATTCTGACTTCAGAGGTTGATGTCCTAAGGAAAAGCTAATGGTACCCCAACAGGTAGAGCCTAATTTTCCTGTTGATAGTTCCAATACAAACTGCTAATTTCTCCTTCTCTGGTGCATCTGATGGTCACTTCAAAAAGATTACATTAGGGAAAGGAAGGAAGAAAGAAAAAAGAAAAGGAAGGAGAGAAGGAAGGAAGAAAAAGAAAGAAAAGCCCAGTATTAACTATAGATTCCTGATGAGTTATGATTAGATTATTTTTCCCTAAACACTATCCCCTGCATTCTTTTTGTGCTCTAAATTACCAATTCTAGTCCCTGTGTAGCTAAATAATAATAATTACCATATAAATGAATATGCATATGTGTCATTTTTCTCCCTAAAAGCAAGAAAGCCTGTTTGTTTTGGCGGAGGGTTTGTTTTGCTTTTGAACAACCAAAGCACATAATTAGACACCTCACCTCTCCCTCTGGAGATCTGCCTCCACCGGGATGAGATGAAAAAGGCTCTGGATGCTCCTTGAAGGTTAGAGGAAGTTTTAAAACAAATTGAAGGAGATCTTTCTTTCCTCTGCAGATAACAATGGTGTGGACATGATCTAAATCACACAACTGGGTGGAGAGGAGGGACTTGCTTGAGGATGGCCCTGTTGTGTGGCAGATGCAGGAAAAGGCCAAAGGGAGTAAGCTCCCACACAGCAGCACAGACCGGGCCTCTGCGCAGACCCGGCCTCCGCAAGCAACATAGGCTTCAAATCAACACCATGCCATTTTTGCACTGCGGTTCTGGGACTTGCAGTGGGACCCTCCACAGGATACAGAGCCTGCCCAGGTCCTGAATTCTGCATCTATGAAGGAGGGGATGGTGTACAGCCTCCATGGGGAGCACAGGGACAAGTACTCAGCCCTGGTCACCTTGCTGCCTCTAGATTAGTGGTGGCCACCAATGGTTTAGGAATCAGCCTCTCTGCACAGCATGAGGCACACCTGTGATGATGGAGCAGACAGCTGCCATCACCTCAAAATAATCAAGATTATAAACATCCACATGATCAGTAGTATTAACTACAACACAGTATACTCATGTGCTACATGTAACTGACAACGCTGGTTAGAATACAATGAGATTAATAATATTAGCATGTTGGTAGTGGTGGTGGTTCTGGGGCTTGAACTCAGGGCCCGGGTGCTGTCCTTGAGCTTTTCTGCCCCTTTGAGCCACAGCTCTACTTCTGGCCTTCTGGTGGTTAATTGTTAAGAGTCTCAAGGACCTTCCTACCTGGGCTGGCTTTGAACTGTGATCCTTAGCCTTCTGAGTAGCTAGGATTACAGGTGTGAGCCACCAGCAACTGGCAGCATTGTCATTTTGAGGGTAGTGGCTGTTGGCAAACTCAGGACACCTGGTCTCACACTTGGTCTACAATGTAGAGGGGAGGAGGAGAAAGAGGAGGAGGAGGACAAGGAGGAGGAAGAAGAAGAAGAGGAGGAGGAAGAGGAGGAAGAGGAAGAGGAGGGAGAGGAAGAGGAGGAGGAAAAGGAGGAGGAAGGGCGGAGGAAGAGTTAGAGGAGCTCTAGCAATCCTCTCCTGAGAAGTAATCTGGATTCCATGAGAAATGCCTTTATCCCTTCTGAGACAGAGGGTGGATTACCTAAGGCCGGGGGGGGGGGGGCTCAGCACTGCCTCCCTGCTCATTAGCTACATGAACCTAAAGGGACAAACACAACTGCAAGCAGAGGAAGTTGTTTATGAGTCCACGGCCTCACCCCTAAGTTGTGCATGGAAGGGCCTGACCCAGAACAGCATCCCAAAGACAGTGAGAGATGAACGCCAGCATAGACCCCTGCCCAGGGCCTGCGCAGCCAAGAGCAGCACACACAGTCATGGCACAGTCACCACAAAGCTTCTGGAAACAAGACCCATGCCACGTGTAGGACCCAGAGAAGGCTGGCTGGAGCTCACAGTTGGACCCAGACTGAACCAGTCGGGTGCCAAGACAAAAATATCAACATTCGCCATAGGATTTCAGCCAGCACCCAGAATCTCATAACAGCACATGAAAAATGTCCAGGAGACCAAACACTAGTCCAAGGAGAATAAGGCAAATCTCAGCTCACAGGGAAAGGACAAACGCCATCAGCTCTGGCATAACTCAGATGACCGTGATACTGGAACAAGACTAAAGCAGCTAATATCACAGCTGCCTTAAAAAAACTGGCTAGTCGAAGGATGCAAAGACACCTAGTCTTGGGAAAGAAATAGAAGGTAGAAAGAAGAACTAAGTGGAATTGTTAGAACTGGTAAATAATAAAAATAAAAGAGAGTAGAGTCAAGGACCTAGCTGTGGTTCAATCCAGGTGATCAACTCTGATAATCAGAAAATGAAAAATTAAGAATAGGGCCTCAGGGCCTGTGGGACAACAAGCTGGTGCCAGCAGAGTGCCACAAGGAGAGAAGGAAGAGCATGGGCGAGCAGGGGGCTCAGCTTGACGCCATGAGGTGGCCCAATGGGACAAGCATGGAACCAGCCATGACGCTCTGCCTGCCTCTTAACCAATATTGGGCAAGGCCAGGGGCATCCCAGTTAGCCATGGCCCACCCACCTCTGTCCAGCTCAGAGGCACCTGTCTTGCTGTTGCCCAATCCCCAGGAAGTCTCAGTGTATGTGATCTGACTCTGTCTTCCTCTTGCTCTGGTTTCAGGATGGCTTGTAGTCCCCCACACAGGTTTTCTCCAACAGTACAGAAAATTGTTTGATGAAATCAAGGCTAAATGTGCAATAGCTGCACTAGGCCCTGGGTCTCTTCACATGGCATGCTGGTGGCTTTAACCACTACCACCATCCCTACTTTTTTTTTTGTCATTGTCTCTTGATTGGATGCTCTCCCATGGCTCTCTCTCTTTTCCAGGCTCCCAGTTACTTCTCCTATACACAGCCACAGACATCCACCCAGCTGCTGCAGATCTGCCTCCCAGCCTCCCTGCCTCCCAGCGTCTGGCCACCCCACCCAGGAGGCCCTGGGCCTTACCTTCTGAATGCAGTCGTCATCCCCCATACGCTCCTTGATGAGTGAGATGAGCATATTGTTGGGAAGCGTCTAGAAGAAAGACAGCACAGCGACACAGCATGAGACTCCCACTGCCTGGGCACTGGCTGGAGAGGCTTGTCAGTTCTACACACACACACACACACACACACAGACACTGCCCTGTGACATGGGTGCAGTACCCAGCGGCATGTGTAGCTCACATACCACCCAGGTAAAAGATCCCAGAGAGAGGGAGCGAGGACCCCAGCATGCGCAGCAGACAGGCACAGAGAGGTGGACCACCCACAGTTCCCCTGTGTTGGGGCCTTGCTGGAGCTGGAATGCATCCGACAGGAGTAGGGCCAGACATGACACATGAGGAGGGATAAAGGGTGGTCCTGGGGTAGAAGACCCACAGCTAAGAGGCAGGGCTGGATAGAGCAGCAGCTCAGGAAGGCCTTGGGGCTCAGACACCCAGGGGCAGGGTGACTATGGGCAAGGCTTGACCTTCGTAAACCTCATATACCACATCAATAGAAATTGGTAGCAAGACCTGCTTCCTATTACATAGTTCCCCAGACTTCCCCTGAGAAGCCACGCTGTTACCCTTTTGCCTTTATGATTAGATGACAACCCCACGTTCAGATTCCGATGAGGAACTGTTGATTAACATATCCTATGTCTGACCACTGTGACTTATCCAAACACTGCCTCTGATCCAATCCCGATGGGTCATTTTTCAGGCTCAGGAGATCAGTGTAATCAGTAGGAGCAGGAATCCTTGCTTTCTACCATACTGGAAGGTGAGAGAAGACCCAGAGCTGCAGCAGCCACTTGTAGGTATGAGGTATATATAAGGGAATGAAGCCAGCACCATAGCCAAGCTCAATCCCAGAGTGGCTTTTCCAAGGGTATAAGAATGGTAGATGAGTGGACAGGGAGGGAATGCAGGATGGGGCACCTCTGCTAGGACTATAATGTGTTTGCTTGAAAGTTACAGGGCCACCATGGCTTCTATGAAGTAAACAGCGGAAGAAAGAGAGAATGAATGAATGATACATAGGGAAAGGAAGAGATCTGAGAGGCCAGAAGGCTGGGCAGCATCCAGTGTCTGGACCAACACCTCCTGAGAGTTCTCTTCCTCTGTGTCCTCACAGCAGACACAGCCCTGACTCCGCACTTCTTGCTTAAGCAGGTGGCTCTGGCACACGCCTGGGAGGGTCTGGGAGAGCGCAGTGGGTCGGGAGAGCTGAGAACCTGCACTGCTAACACGTTTCCCTGCCGTGCAGCGCAGACGCTGCTGGACCAGGTCACAGCTGGAAAACCACTGGGCTAAGCAGAGGCCCCCGCCACCTCCCACCCTGGGCCCAGGGACTGCTGGAGAGGCTGGTGGCCTCTTCCTCCTGGCTGTCCAAAGGAACTTCCCAAAGCTGGCAGGAAGTAGGTGGGACAGGCAGGAAGCAGAAAGTATCCTTGTCCTCCCCTCATCCCTTCCTCCCCTTCCTGGCCCTTCCAGCCCTGGCTCCAGGCCTCCCAACGCTCCCCCCCACCCCCACAGCACCCACATGGGAGGCAGCAGTCAAAAAGGCACGGGACATGGGGTCCCCTCTAGTTCACGGTGACACAAGCAGTCTGAGAACATGGGTTGAAAGGTAGCAGATCTGGGTGGGGCACAGCACCCCACAACCATGCAGCAGGGGGCCGGCAGGCAGCTTTGAGCAAGGCCTGGCCTGAGCACCCTGCACCGCTGCCTGCCACCGCGCTGTCTTGAAGCCAGCTTTGATGTGTCACTTCAGCACCAGGCTTGCTGGGACTGCTTCTTGAAGCCCTGCGAAACTGTCTTTGCAGGAATTGGGCTCCCTCCTTCCAGAGGTCTGTGATGCTCTTCCATTCCAGCCCCCCAAGTATGGCTTTAGGGGGAAAATCATGGACAAGAGAATCATGGAAGGGGCCCCGTGTGGCCCAGCCTGGCCCTCGTCTGGCGGCATGGGGACAGCACAGCACAGGGCAGCTTCCTTGTCCTCAGAGCAGGTGGCTTTGTCTGCCCCAGTTTGGATCTTTCCTTGTCCCCTCACCAGCACCCAGAGCTGGCTCAGTGGTTACTGATTTGGTACAGACTGAAGAGGGCAACTGAAGGGCGGGGGCAGCACCAGAACAGCCAGGGATGGAGGAGATGCTGCCCGCCCTGAGGCAGCTGGTGGGGGCTGCACAGGGCCCTGCCCCCTGGAGCCCCTTGGCTTCACAACCAGGCCTTCTCCACTGTAGTAAGCTGTGGCACCTTGGTGGGTGACACCTATTGAGAAGCTAGAGGCCTTCTGATCCATAGTATGGAATTCTAGAAATTCCCAGAGGTAGAGGGGAGGGAAAGCTGAGATGGATCTACCCCCCTGCCTGTCCTCCTCCGGGAAGGGGACGGAAGGAAAAAACGAATACTTGGACTTGAGTTCTCCTGGAAGCTAATCAAGAATCCTTTGAAGATATTGGCTGCAGTGGCACATGCCTGTGCCTTGCCACCTCCTGCGGAGTCTGCATGAGAGATCGCGTTAGACAAAGAGCTTCAAGGAAGCATGCCTGCAGGAAGGGGGTGTTGGTTCAAGGCTTCCCACACATTTGGCTGCACCTTTATTCTTACTATATTCTTCTTGGCTGTACATTCACTGCCTTTATTTTCGTTTTGGCTATTTTTCTACTGATCCAAGAACAGAGCATGTTGTTTCTTTCCAGTCCAACAGAGATGGCTTCTCTAAATAATAAAGACTAGGACCAAAGATTAAATGTGGGCAATGCCCCAATCAATCTACCATCTGATGTGACGCTGCCTCCAGAAACTCCTACAACTTCACAAACAGTTTTGCGGCTCACTCATAGTAAATATAAAAACTTAAAATTTCCAGATATGTTACAACAGGCAGAATTAATGAATTAAACTAAGTTAGAAGGAGTTATCCCAGAACCACAGAGAGTTATAGAAAAAGGGACCCCTGATAATAAAAGGAAAAGAAAGATTTCCCCAACAGTTATGATTAAGTTTAGTCCAGTTTACGTTATAGGGAATAGATGGTAGTTTCCCACAAAATATAAAGTTAGTGACATCACATTTCCTAAACCAACTGATGAACTATTGCCTTATACAGGAGCTTATAAAGATGAAAATAGATGGATTAATATAAAAGGAAAAAGGGTATTTTGGAACTCATTAGATTTTATGCAAAGATTAGGTAGATCTAGACCATTATGGTGTTTATTATTAAAACAACAGTAAGGGGGGGGAGGGGGAAGGAGAAGGATTGGGACTGGGGGGGAGGGGGGAGGCTGGGAAGTGATGTGAAGGGTAAACAAAGGAGGAGGCTGCAATGCTTGGTAAGAAATGTACGCATTATCCTGCCCATGCAATTGTAACCCCTCTGTACAGTATGTTCACAAATAAAATAAAATAAAATTAAAAAAAACAATAAGATAGTTTAAAATAACAATTAGAAATTTATGTGAACAAATATTGGGATTAAAATTATAGAAAACAGAAAAGGCCTGACTCAGCCTAGAAGTGGTTTTTAGGATGGTTTCAAAGGGACTTGAAAATATATGGAAAAAATTAAAAGAGTACAATATAAGTACAGCCCTGTCTTAGGTTTGTTAACTATTAAACATAAAAAGGCTGAATAGATGAAATATGCTATTAAATAATATGCTAGACTTGTTTCGCACCACTTAGCTTAGACAGTTGGTGGGATAGTCATCAATTTTTATGTAATCCATCAATGCTTTGCTTTGCTTAATTCTTGATTACGTGCTTAAATAAACAAAGAATCTATGTCACAGTCACACACTGTATAAAAATGTTAATTCTCCTCAATGAAGATACACTCAGATGCAACTCTTTTGAGTCTGTGTCTGTCTGTCACTTCGCCGACTCCTTGCCCACCTATCCCGAGACCCCGAGACCCCTGTCCCGTCGGTCCCAGTGCTCCGGCCGAGCTGTAATCCCAGTTACATGGGAGCAGAAATCAGGAGGATCAGGATTCAAGGTGAATCCAGGCCCTCAGTTCAAGCCCTACAACCAACCAACCAACAACAACAAAAAAGAGGTGAGCCCAAACAGAATGTTAGTAAGAACTTAACTCCATCAATAACCCAGGAATGGTGGTATACATCTGTGGTCCCAGCTACTGGGAGGCAGAGACAGAAGGATTGAGATCCAAGGTCAGCCCAGGCAATAGTTAGCAATCTCATATCTTGGAAACAAGCTGAAAAGGCACAAGGGACTGGGGCCTGGCTCAAGTGCTACACTTGAGATCCTGAGTTCATTCCCTAGTACTTCCCCCAAAAGTCTGTATCTTTCTGAGTGTGGAAACAAAAGGCCACCAGGTGAGAGGAGTGAAGGCATCTCAGAGCTTGCTGTGATAGGGATGGACAGCCATCCTGGCAGGCAGGGGTGTGGGGCAGGAGGGGGGATGGGCAGGCACGCCCCGGCTGGAGGTCACTGGTGTGGGGAGGCTGGAGGCTAACGGTATCCTAAGACAACAACAGGAACAAAAACTAAACAGAAAATTGTTGGTCGTTAACCATGTGCTGCCAGGTTGGGTCTGACAGTTATTGGCTGGCCTCTTGGACTGTTGGTGGAGACAGCAGGCTGACTTACTGTGCTGTTCACTCCCTGTAGGCAGCAGGCTGGCCTCCTGAGCTGGTCACTGTAGACTATGGGTCAGTGATTTCTGTGTCTGGCTACTGGCCAGACTGAACATTGCCAGGTAAAATTAAATTCTATATGGGTTTGCTTCACAACACCCAGGTCAGGGCAGCCGGGGAGGACAGAACAGGAAGCCAGACACAGTAAAGCAAGAAACACAGAAAAGCTAGCTCCATCCCTGCATGCCCTGGATCCTCCAGATCCCAGCGGCAGCTCTGCCTTGGCTTTGGACATTGCCTGACTCCAGGCTTTGGGTTTGGGACTCTGTCTGACTCCAGACAATCTGAATACTCCCTTTGCTTTTTCTCCTGCAGGGCTTGGGGAGGATCTAGGCCTCATACATGCTAAACCATGAAACCACAACCCTGGCCCCCAGCTTGTAACTGCTCCCAGCCCAAGCCAGCACCTAGATCTTGGCAGGTGGGGGGGATTTAATCTAAGTGAACTGGTAAATGAGCCAGTCAACCTTGCCACCAATGATAGGGCTGAAGCAGTTTGTCCTCCTCTACCCTGGCTGGTGCTCAGTTTGGCAGTACTGTCTATCTCCCCTGGCTGGCAGCTTCCAGGGGTAAGGTGTTTGTCTGTGGTTCTCCCGGAGCGCCAAAGAACAGCGCCTTGTAAGCAGCAGGCAATTAGGAAATGCCTACATGGAGATGGCTTGGTGAACACCAGAACGTTAGAATTTGGCTGAGAAAATTAGGTATTTGAAGGGACTATTGCTACTGGCAAACTGCAGTGTAAAGACTCAATCAGCAGACAATCTGAAGATGGTAATTAATGAGGCCTGGCTGCAGATGAGGCCAGGCCCTGCCCCGCCCAACACACCCACCTGGGCACTCGGGACAGACTGCTCCTTGATGAAGCTCCGTCAGCATCCTTGCCTTTCATCTTCTCTCCACCGTATTTCTGAACCAGGAACCCCAACAAGACGCCCTTGAAAGCATTCGATGTGGTCTGAACCTCGCTGGTAATTAGCGTAACGAAGCCCGGGAGGAGTTGCCTTGCCTCCCTCCTTGGGGCTCAATCCTGGGAACCTAATGAAGCATCTTTAGCCCAGAAACAAGCAGGGAAAGCAGGCACTTTCCTGCCAAGCCTGTGCCCCTGCAGCTGCAACTACAGCTCTGCTTTGCCCGGGGCCTTGGGGAGCACTGGGGGGAAGTGACTCCACTGTGTGTGAAGGACCTTGTTGAATGGGGTCTTCCCTCTCCAGCAAGTTGTCACAAACCCAGGGCTGAGTGTCTCCTGTGGCCTTCCTTCCACCTCTTCCCAGCTCTGAGCCAAGGCCTCACCCAGCACCAGAGCTGACTGCCCAGGATGCCTGACCAGCTGGCTCCAGAGTCCCTGCCTCAGACTTCGGCCTTCAGCTGTTTCTGTGGCTGGTCTGAATGAGGACACAGGAGCTAGGATGGAGTCACCATCAGGAGTGCCCAAGAGCAGACTCATGACAGACAGACAGACAGACAGCAGGGAAGCTAAGGAGCTGCAGAGAGAGTGGTGGTAAGAGCTCAAGTGCTCAAAGGTGCTGGGAGCAGCCAAGGTGCTGCACAAGTGGCCCCGCAGGTCCCAGGAGCCTTTGTGCCCCTGCAGGCCCCTTTCTCTCTGGGCAGCCCATAGGCACTCCTGCTACTTGAGCTAGAGGCTAGCCAACAACATCTTCCTGCCGGCACCATTCGCTGGTAGCCCACAAAGTCTAGAGATTCACTCCAAGTTCTTGTGTTTTTATTGTTTTTGTTTTGTTTTTCGGTTGTGGGGCTTGAACTCTGGGCCTGGGCACTGTCTCTTAAGGCAAGCACTCTACCACTTACGCCACAGTGCCACTTGCGGTTTTCTTGTAGTTCATTGGAGATAAGAGTCTCACGGACTTTCCTGCCCAGGCTGGCTTTGAACTGTGATCCTCAGATCTCAGCCTCCTGAGTAGTTAGGAATGACAGGCGTGAGCCACCTGTACAGGGGCTCAGTCCAAGTTCTTGAAAGAACATTGGCTATTCACACCTATGGTGAAGACCTTGTGGTTGAACAAGCACTGGAAGGAGAGCACTCCAAGACTGGAGCGGGACCAAGCGGTCTCACCCAGGGTACGCCCTGAGCCCTGAGGTAGCCACAGGCTTGGATTAACCACTATGCAAAACAAGTGGTGACCTGGGACACTGGAGTCCCCACCCTTCGCCCTTCACTCTCACCAGCTCACTCAACTTTTGTCTGTCCTGAGGGCTCACAGACAGGGCAGCCTGGCTTCCTCAGCCACACCCCACACCAGCAGGGGAACACTCCCGAGAACCAGGCATGGAGCTGAAAAGGCACGTCCCTGCTTTGGCACATCATAAGCCAAAGAGATTTTTGAAGAAATACTTTGTGTTTCTATCTGGAGTAACCAAAAACAAACCATGCATTCAAGCCTCGTGGACCCTTTTTGTGGGCAGGGAGTGAGTGGGGTGTTACAAAGAGCATGTGGATCCTTTTGGAGCATCCCACCAGATGGGTGTGAGCCAAGCAGAGCAGAAGGGATCTGTCTGCTCCTTAGGGCAGGTGCTGTCCACAGGGCACCTGAGCAGTGGCAGAGAAATGTCTCTCCAGGCCAACATCCCTTTAAATTCACAATCCAGCCCAGCCCAACACATCCTGGTGATGGCCTCCAGGTCTACCATCTGTGGGATGGACACTTGCACTCTGCATCTGCCCCTGGCAGTTGGCTGACCCGAAGAAGAAAAGGAGCAAGCCTGGACCATCAGGACTCCACCTGGACAAATAAAGCTTCTCCCTCCCCCCTTCAGTTCACCAGCGGTCCTCTTCCCATGGGATGCAGGCTCCAGTGTGGAATTCTCTCCTTCCTGCCATTACATCCTGCCTTTTCTCTCTGCTTAACCCAGAAGAAAATGGAACTGGCCAAGCAAGAAGGGGCTGGAAGGAGAATGTGTTGGGAAGTACCCGGCCCCCATTCTACACGAGGCCCCCCTCTCTGCACCTGGCCCAGACCTACCTTGAATTTCTGGTAGTATTTCCTGGCTTCCACAGCATTGGGAGAAAACTTTCTTGCCATTAGGTTCTCCTTAGTGAGGAGATTGCTGTTCAGATGTTTGGAAAGCCACATTGCCTGAAGAAAGGAAAGCAGAAAAGACAACTTCAGTGATAGCAATAAATACACTAGTCCATTCTAGGCCTAGTGTGGTGGCATACATCTGTAACCTACTACTCAGGAGGCTGAGGCAGGAGGATCGTGAGTTTGAGGCCTACTTTGGCTACAAAATAAAACAACTGAAAACAAAAAGGAGCAATTCCATTCATGGGGAAGAGAGCCATCCGTGACTGCAGGGGTCCCCTGAAGAGCCAAATCCACACGGAATCTCCCAGCCTAAGATTCCCACTTGCCTGTACCAGCCCTGGCCCTGCCTTTCAAGGTTTTGTGGATCACAGATTTTGCCAGTACTGGGGCTTGACCTCTTGGCCTTATGTTCTTGCTCAGCTTTGTGCTCACTGCTGGCGGTCTACCCACCTGAGCTGTGTGACTGCATGCACGATGGCCAGACGATGGCAAACCCTTTTCTCCAAGTCTATGGCCAGATCTTATTTTCTGAAATGTCTTTAATAAGCAGAATTTAACCATTTTAATTCTACTTTATTGATTAAAATTTTATTAGTTTATTTAAATGCCTTTACTTCCAACATTTTGCTAGTTAACTGGAAATAAAAGTCTCCCCAATTTGCTGTGAGGACTGTCTTCCAACTGAGATCCTCAGATCTCAGCCTCCTTGAGTACCTGGGGCTATAGGTGTGAGCCACTGGCACTTAGCATAGAAAGTTTTTAACTCTGGGAAAGGAAATATGATCACAACTCTAACTTAGCATTCACTTTCACTTTTTCTTTCTGTTGGTTGTGGGGTTGAAATCAGGGCCTGGGTACTGTCCTTGAACTCTTTCACTCAAGGCTAGTGCTCTGCTACTTTGAGCCACAGTGCCACTTTCAGTTTCCTGGTGGTTCATTGGAGATAAGAATCTCAGGACTTCCCTGCCTGGGCTGGCGTGGAACCATGATCCTCAGATCTCAGCCTCCTGAGTAGCTAGGATTACAGCCACCAGCCACCAGTGCCTAGCCTCAATTTTTTGGGTCATGACATGCTCTGGTGACTATTGTATATACTCTACAAGAGAATAACTTTCCAGACGTGATATCCTCAGCTAAGGCCTGAGAACAGCAAATTCACCAATAGGCCTGACCTTCAATACCAGCTGCCATCTGCCAGGACCTGAAACAGAGGCCAAACCCTATGCTCTCTACACCTTGGGATTTGACACACCCACTGCCTAGGTGAATCTGCACGAACCCTCGTCTCTCAGTCTGCAGGTTCACTACATCTTAGATTCATATTTTGAATCTCTCATCTATGTCTCCTGTTTGAGGAGGGTGAGATGATTCTGGGGGATCTTTTACACTAAGGTATAAAATCCCTACCACTGAAGTTCCTAAGTGAAATCCCTGCTCTAAGTGCAGAAGAGAGTGAGGAGAAACAAAATCACACAAAAAGGGTGAGTTGAGGCCTGTAGATGTTCACTATTTTCTGGTCCTCTTTTATAGCTAAAATAGTTCATTAACCAAACTTTCAAAGTGGGGAATATTTGACAAAATGAATGTGAACCATCTGCACCAAAGGGTGTGGTGCAGGTGCATGTGTGCACACATGTGTATGTGTGTGCTTACTGAAAATTGTGTGTTTTCATTGTAAACTGAAAATCAAATTAAAGTTGGGGTCATGGAAACAAGAAGCAAATAAAACCCGAGTTCCTTAGGAAAAAGTCCCTGTGCTTGGAGCCTGCTCTTGCCAGTGAATCCTTCGTTGTGATCAGAGAAGTACCAGAGCTGGGAATGAGGAAAAGGTGGTATAAGGAAAATGGAAAAGGAATAGGCCAGACTCCATCATCAACAGGTGAGGACTGTTTATTGAGGAACAGCAAGGGGGACAACCTCCAATCCCACAGGAAGGGGTTCCTCAATAAACAGTCCTCCCCTGTTGACGATCGAGTCCAGCCTATCCCTTTTCCATTTTCTCTATATTTGGTGCTTAAAACCCAGGACAGAAAAAGTGCCAGGAGTAACTGGGTCCCCTCCACTAAGGGGCAACCAGTCTCCTGGCCACTTCTCACTGAGCCTTTCCAGTATCTTGTCTCTTTTTCCAAGGCCTTCCTCCATTGGGAGCAGAGAGCCCTCTGAGCTTACTTTGGTTTAAACAGTCACCTGAAAGACCTTGTGGCCTTTGCCTATATAAGCAGTGCATGGCTGTGTGGCTTGAGGTATTATTGGCCTCTGCTTAAACTCAGAGAAAGCCTTATTTCTCCCCCACTTTCTCTCCTTGTCCCAGGACTCTGGATCTCCAGGCAGAGGCTCCCTGCCTTCTGACAAAACTCTACCCACCAGCCAGGAGCCTTCAGGACAATGTAACCAGCCCTTGTTCATAGTGGAGGTGCCCCAACACAAACTTGCCCCTCCCTCCCTTCCTGTCTGTGGCATCCCCAAAGACTCCAGGAGTCTCACCCTTGCTTGACCCCCTGACACCCTTTAATTAGGACTTTGGGGATACCCTCTCCTAATTATTGGAATCTATCCGTCTGCCTTCCCAAAGCTTTAGGGGTGCCTACAAGCAGTGGGAAAGGCCCTGTAGTCCTATCAAATTATCCTAAATGGGCTATGGTGGTCTTGGGATCAAGGATGATGTCCTTGGCCAGGCCCACAGTGGAAGCTGGGTGTGGGGGCTATTGTCTCCTGGGGACCAAGGTTGGAATGACCTGCCTGTAGACAAGCATGTGAGCACACACCTGGTGTTTTGCTTGACCCTGTGGAATAAGGCAGGACTTAGTCCTTCAGGTAGTGCCAGGGACAAAAGCCCTTATCAAAGGAGCCTCATGCTGAGCGACTGGACTCACTGGGAACATGGCTAATAGGTGTCACTCCTGGGAGTTCCCAGTATCAGGATTACTGGGGGCCTTTCCAATTGGTTGGGTCTTGCTCCACCAGATTCTGATAACGCCATCATAGCGCAGTCCAGGGACCAGCATTTTCAAGCATCTTGGCAATGCTAACAGGGGACAGACCTGCAAGCTCTGGGTTTCTAACAATGACACATAACATGGTGATTCAGGTTACAGTGGTCGGGCTCAAGTGGGGAGGGGCTCACTAGAGAGAGGAGTAGAAGGTGACAGTCTATACAGAGGAGTCAGACAGAAGGATGGAAGAACAGATTGCTGACAGTTAGACCAGCTAATTCTAAAGGTATGGCAGAGTGTCTTGTACAAGGATCAGCTATCTTAGCTTTTTTTTTGTGTGTGTGTGTGTGTGTGTGTGTGTGCCAGTTAAGCCAGGTACTGGTGGGTAGCACCTGTAATCCTAGCTACTCAAGAGGTAGAGATCTGAGGATCACAGTTCAAAGCCAGCATAGGCATGGAATTCTTACCTCCAATTAACCACCAAAATGCCAGATGAGGAGCTGTGGCTCAAGTAGTAGAGTGCTAGCCTTGAGTGCAAAAGCTCAGGGACAGGGCACAAGGCCTGAGTTCAAGACCCAGTACTGCCAGTTAATTGAGGAACTACCTGCCTCATGAGCAAGGACTTTGTTTTTAGGGCAGAGCTCCATGGTGCTCACTAACAGCTTTTTAAAAGGCAGAAAGAGTCCCATCTCAGATGATTAAAATTTGAAGCTGGGCGCCAGTGGCTCATGCCTGTAACCCTAGCTACTCAGGAGGCTGAGAGCTGAGGATCGAGGTTCAAAGCCAGCCTGGGCAGGAAAAGCCATAAAACTCTTATCTCCAATAAACCACCAGAAAACCAGAAGTGGCGCTATGGCTCAAGTGGTAGAGCACTAGCCTTGAGCTGAAGAGCTGAGGGACAGCACTCAGGCCCCCTGACCACAGTTCAAGCCCCCTGACCAACAACAACAACAAAAAATTTGAATACAATTTTGATACTTAAAAAAAAATGGAGCTGACAGGGCTGGGAAGGTGGCTCAGTGGTAGAGCGCTTGCCTTGCATGCTCAAGGCCCTGGGTTCGATTCCTCAGCACTACATAAGCAAAAAGAAAAAAGCCAGAAGTGGCGCTGTGGCTCAAGTGGTAGAACGCTAGCCTTGAGCTGAAGAGCTGAGGGACAGCGCCCAGGCCCAGAGTTCAGGCCCCACGACCGGACCCAAAAAAAAAAAATGGAGCTGAGGGCTGGGAAGGTGGTTCAGTGGTAGAGCGCTTGCCTTGCATGCATGAGGCGCTGGGTTCGATTCCTCAGCACCACATAAGCAAAAAAAAAATGGAGCTGAGGTCTAGGTCCGCTGAGCTCAGTAACAGACTCCTTGCCTAGCACATGCAAGGCCCTGTTTCCATCCAAAGCCCTGGAGGGTGGGTGTGAGGGGAAACCCAAGAAATGAAGCATAGATGGAAAACCAGTTCCAGCTCTGGACATGTCTGCCTCAAGAGAGGAGACAAGGACTCTTTGGGACTGAGGTAATTGCTGGATCTTTGGAGGGTGGGACAGGTAGGAGAGGGCATGTCCCAGGGCCTGGGCACTGTCCTTGAAAGCCTCACGGACTTTCCTGCCTGGGCTGGCTTCAAACCATGATCCTCAGACCTTAGCCTCCTGAGTAGCTAGGATTACAGATGTGAGCCATTGGTACTCTATTTGCTGGATCTTTAATACTAAATTTTCTTTCAAATGGAGAGAGAACAAGGCCAAGGTGGCAAGGTGATAAACGTCTGTCAATTCCGGGACCTAGGCACATGAACACTTGTGCTGGTTTCTGTGCTTTCCTGTTTGTACACGTGAGTACTTGTGCTGGTCTCTGTGCTTTCCTGAGTGTTTAGACTATTTCATAATCAAAAACTGTGACAAGGGATCAAGATTCCATGCTAGAAGCCTCTGGAATGTGTATGCTGTTGAACCCAGCCCTCCTGATCAGAAAACGCACCCCAAGGCTATAGCTAAGAGTGCAATTACTTCGGGAAGGGGTGTTCATAAGAACATTCTGGAAGGGCTGTGCTGGGGTGGTTGGGGCACTGTGTTTTTGTGTATTTTCTAGGTTTCCTACTATGAACTGTACATAGGCTTTTGTAACGAGAAGGTATGAAGGAAGAGAAGCTGCCGGGCTGGGTTATACAGACAATGCACGCAGGCGCAGCGCCTTGCAGCTGGAGCGTAAATGAGGGATGACAATAACACAACACTTAATATGTGCACTTACTATGGTTGTTTTCCCCGAGGCGGGTGGACCTAATACCACAATCTTCGGCACTGTAGAATAAAAAGATTTGAATGTCACCACTCAGCATGACAGAGCAGCCTCCCTGGTGGTGGCACTCGGGTGTATTTATTTCTTTCCTCCCCAGATTTCATTTCTGCTGTTGACATGGCCATTTATAACCCAGCGGCCGGGAGCCGCTCCTACCAGGAAACTTGTCTGTGTTTAGAGGTAAGCGATCACTGAGATGGTTTATTTTTCTCTCTCCATGGGGACATGGACACGGCAGCTTATTTGCCAAACTAATAAATATCAAGAACAATTGGGACTTCAAACACCATAAAGCATTTTAAACAGGGACTTTGTCTCAGGGACATTCTCTCAAATAAAGTTGTATTTTATGTAAATTGACCTTCGAAGTTATGGGTATATATATTTTTTATTTATATATATATATGTATATATATATATATGCCTTTTTATTTAGCAAATCGTATCCCCCATCATTTTACAGAGGAAAATAATGGAAAGAGGCCTAGAGTGCATGAACCAAATTTATAAAACCCAAGGCAGGAAAGTATTTGTTTTCAGATATGGGTATTTCTATGCAAATGAAAAAAAAATCAAAACCAAAAACCTGACATTTCATTTGCAGATTCCTAAAGCAGCTACCAGAACACAGAGTAGGTGCCAGCCACTGGAAAGGGGCAGACCACCATGGGAACAGGTGATAGAGGCCAAGGCACAGGTCAGAGGAAGGAAACCGGATGCCAAGTTCAGACCCAGATCAGTGGTGACAGCTTGCTGAGCTGAGGTCCCTGCCCATCCCCATGAAAAGCAGGTCCTCAGGGGACACATGAACTAATAGGTCTGACCTGTCACCATCTGGGCCTGAGTGTTGGGCCAATGGAGCTCATTTTGCAGATAAGGAAACAGGTCAGGAGACACCCAGGGTCTGGCTGTTTCTTCCATGCAGGACCTAAGGGGCCCCATTCTCTGCCTTGGCTGGTTGGCTGGGCAGGGCCTTCCAGCACCCTCTCTCTGAGTGAGAAAAGCCATGTAGAAAAACACTTCTTTCTCAGCCAAGTCTGATGATGAGGTGACTTTGGGAACACTCACATCCTCCAGGGAGAGGACAAGGAGGTTGGCACTGGAATGTCATACAAGGTTTGGGGGACCACAGGAAGGGCCATCAAAAGGAGAGGGGCCTCTTCTAGCCCTGGCAGGGAGGCTCCCTTGGGTCACAGGGAGGCCACCTGTGTGGCCAAAGTCAGAACAAGGGACTGACGGAGCGAGGGGGCATCGGCCTGCTGTTCATCGCCCCACTGTGCTAAGGGGGTTCTAATCACAGGTCTTCATCAGATGCAGCTGGGTTCGGGCGCCAGAGAAGAAAGGAGATCCGTGGCGACCAGGGCATCGAATCCCCAGTAGTGCTTTCTTCCTGGGAAAGTTGCTGGGCCAGAGCTGCAGAGAAGCCCTCCCCCTCTCAAACTGTACTCGTCTCTGAAAATACTTTAAAAGCGGAACATCCGCGGGCTTTCACCCCACCTCATTTCTCGTACTCATTTATGTGATTAATTTCGGTTTCTTAAAATCTAACACCTTGAAACTCCAGCCCAGCTCCTGAGTAATTATTTATAAACAGTGTCATAAAAGGCTGCTTGACTGCCAAGAGTAATCAACTTCCCCCAGCTGCTTCAAAGGAAATCAAAGAGCCCTTCCATCCGCGAAGCCTTTTGAGGTTTAACTAGGAGCATGATTTAAAATTCACAAGAAAACCCTTAGGTATTGGGGCTCTAATACACAGCTTTCCTGGACAAACGTTTGATAAGAAACGAAATACACCATTATATCCACCACCGCCTGTTTTAATATTGCCCAGGGCCACTGTAAATGCTCACTTTGTACTAAATCTGCTTTTCTGGTGGGAAGGGTATGCCAGCGCCGGGCCGGGCTGGCTCTGCTCCCCAGGTGCTAACAGGTGGGATGAGCTCCGAGCCTTCCCTCCTGCCACACCAGTCACCTGCCAGTGCTCCCACGGTCCAGCAGGCAGCAGGGCTGAGGTCCTGGCTCCAGGTGACACGGCCACTATGTGGTCAGAAGGAAGCATGACAATCTGACAAGTAGCCCAAGGTACTGGAAAATGCTTATAGTACTCTTCCATGGCTTCTGCACTGCAACCTAAGAGGTTGGGCTCCAATGGATTCCATGCTTCATCCCACTTCTGGAAAGGTCACAAAGGCGGCTGGCCTCCTGCACCCCATCCTCCACCAGGCTCTGGGGAGGTTCACACAAGGGGAGAGGGGCCCACCAAGTCACTGTCCTCTTTCATTAACTGGCTGGGAAGGGAACTGAAGATGACCCAATAGCCAGAAATGCTGCAGGCCCAGGGCCTGGGCTGCAGGGACAAGCTAACCCCCCTCAACAAGGGTTCCTGGAATCTCGTGACTGTACCTGGAAAGCATCACTCCATTCAAGAGAGGAGCCATGATGCAGAACAACATGGAGGACACGGTAAAGAATCTGCGGAAGGCAGCCTTTGGAAAGCCAGGAGCCCCTGGAATGCATGCAAGGAGGTAACACAGGGACCCCCACAAAGGAAAGAGGCTATCCAGTGGTCATGGCTACACTGCATTAAACCCAGATGACAACACTCAAACTTGACAACCTGTACAACAATGCGTTTGACATTGTGATGTCAATCTGTGGCCAGAGTAGTAGGAGATGGAATCTGTCTAGGTTCTATGTCCAGGTTGGAGGCCTAGGGAAGCCAAGTGGGGGGGGGGGGGCGAGAATGGTGGAGAGGAGGGGAGACGGATCTACCCAATGTCTCTCTGATTGGATAGCTCAAGCGGTCTTCAAACCCATCTGCTGCCCCTCTGGTGGGGGGGAGGCTGAAGTGGGGGGGGGGGGGAGGCTGGCCTGAAGCTCAGGGCACACCCCCCCCCAGGCAGGCAGGCAGGCAGGTTGTGCCAATTAACAGGAGAAATTGTCAGTGCGACCTAGTCATCATCACTCACAATGTGTGTGTGTGTGTGTGTGTGTGTGTGCCTGTACACATGTGCACATGTGTCAGTCCTAGGACTTAAACTCAGGGTCTCATGCCCTCACTTGGGTTTTTTGCTCACAGCTGGTTACTCTATCACATGAATTATACCTTCACTTCTGGGTTTTGTGGATTAATTAGAAGGAGGAGTCTCAGGTTTTCCTGTCCAGGCTGGCTTCCAAACTTGATTCTCAGATCTCAGCTTCCTGAGCAGGATGACAGGCGTGAGCCAGGGCCTAGCTCACAACTTTTAATTCAGGAAAATCCCATTTAGCTTCCCACAAGCCAGCCCACACTCTGGCATCCAGGGAGATCCGGGCTCTCATTCTGCCAGCTATCTCTGATTGGCTACCAGACCTCTCCTGAGTGTTGGGCCAATGGTGCTTACTTTGCAAATATGGAAATAGGCCAAGAGATATCCAGAGACTGGCTGTCACTTCTGGCCACCCAGAAGCCTGAAGGCCCTGGTGGGGGGCAGAGCCAGCAGCTCCACTCTGTATTACCACCAGCCTCTGCATGGCCTCCTTAGCTTTCACGTTGCTCTTATTGCCCTTTGGCTTCACTTCTTTTTCATCTTGCATTCACTTCTCTTTATTTTTGGTGGTACTGGGGTTTGAACACAGGGTCTTGCACTTGGTAGGCTTGCACTTACTCAACTACTTGAGCCCTGCCTCTAGCCCTTTTTGACTTATTTTTCAGGCAGTTTCTCACTGTTTTTCCAGGAAGCCAGTCTTAGACCTTAATCCCCCTGTTTACATCTTGCCCATAACTGAGATTACAGCTATTTGATGAACTGATGGCAGGCAGGGGCGGGAGTGGGGGTGGGGAGGAGTGTCTTACTAACTTTTCCTCCAGGCTGGGCTTGAACCATGATGCTCCCAAGCTTAACTTCCTGAGTGGTTAGGATTACATACATAAGCCACTGCAACTGACTTTTTTATTTATCTTGCAAGTCCTGGAGCTTGAACTCAGGGCTTGGGCATTGTCCCTGAGCCTCTTCATGCTCAAGGCAGTGCTCTACCACTTGAGCCACAGCACCACTTCCAACTTTTTCTCAGTAGTTTCTAGAGATGAGTCTCACAGACTTTTCTGCCTGGGTTGCTTCAAACCAGGATCCTCAATCCTCATATCTCATCCTACTGAGTAGTGAGGATTACAGGCATGAGCCACTGGAGCCCAATGGCATTTTTTTTTTTTTTTGTCGGTCGTGGGGCTTGAACTCTGGGCTTGGGCGCTGTCCCTCAGCTCTTCAGCTCAAGGCGAGCGCTCTACCACTTGAGCTACAGCGCCACTTCCAGTTTTCTGGTGGTTTATTGGAGATAGGAGTCTCACGGTCTCTCCTGCCCAGGCTGGCTTTGAACCGAGATCCTCAGATCTCAGCCTCCTGAGTAGTGAGGATTACAGGCATGAGCCACTGGAGCCCAATGGCATTTTTTTAAATGATGACTTAGCATCATTTTTCTCCTTAGGCCATGTGACCCCACACGGGGGCATCTCAGGCTTCTAGCCCATGAAGCTGCAGCATACCGTTCCCTGGTTTGCTGATAGCTTAAAGCAGCTTAGGGGTCCAGTGGAAAAAACACTGCACTGCCAAGATACTGGTTCCCCTCACTGACGGCTCATCTAGGGCAGAATGACCATCCACTTGGCAAACTACAGAAATGGGGTGCAGTAAGAGAGCCTGCTTGCTTGAGCACCTCTGTCTTTGCTCCTGCCTGCTTCCCAGTTCTATGCTCTGGCCTTGTGTTTGGCTGTTCTGCTCTCCTGCCGAGGTTTGGGAGCTCTGGAACTCATTAGCAGGCACTGATAATGAGAGCATCAGAAAAGCCCAAGTGCTCACCTGTCTAGGTATACCAGAAACCCATCGTCAGTGATCAGAGAGCTTAAACCCAACAGGCGACATCAGTGAGGGCAGGCGGAAGCATTAATAATTGATTCTGTGGGCTATTCTGAGGTTTGCATTTCAATAACTCGGCAAGAGAATTTTTAGTGGTTAGGCTCCAAAAGAAATGGAAAGCATTTTCCAATTAACTACCATGTTGTCAAAAGCCCTGCCCTGTTTTCACCCTCCTCCCGACACAGGTGGTGCCCAGGGTAGGGTAGGCCTCCTGGAAGAGGAGCAGGGCAGCTGAGGCACACCCAAGTGCTCACCATGGTCGTTGTTCCGATGCAAGTGCTCGATCATGAAGGGGATGGGGTCCTCGGGCTGGTGGATCAGCAGCTGCTCCAGCATGGCCTGTGGGCACAGGGCAGACACTCAGGTGGTTAACACCTGCAGGGCCCCTGGTTGCTATGGATACTAAGGACTTGCTCTCTCCATTGAACTGCCCCCCCCACATGCCTTCATCTTTGTATCAAGGGACCCGGCCCCTGCTCCTACTTATACCTACTGGGCTGCCTGTAAGCTGAGGCATGAGGGGGACTGAGTGGGTGCTGCTGGGAAGGGATGTGGAGGGAGGCAGATGTAGGGGCAGCGCTGGAGGAACCATAGCCTTGGTGCAGAGCAGGGAGACCAAGGCCCTCACCTGGCCTTTCCTTTGTTCTCCTACACTGCTGTCTCCTCAGCCTGAACTTTTTTATTATTATTAATTATAATTATTATTAGTGCCAGTACCGAGGCTTGAATGCAGGGCCTTGAGCTCTCCTTTGGCTTTTTCATTCAAGACTAGTGTTCTACCACTTACACCACACCTCCACTTCCAGAATTTTGCTGGTTAACTAGTGGTTAGAATCTCTTGGAATTTTCTGCTGGGGCTGGCTTTGAACCAGGATCTTCAGATCTCAGCCTCCTGAGTAGCTAGGATTAGACATGAGCTACAGGCATCCACCATCTCTTCCTCACTCTTTTTTTTTTTTTGGTCATGGGCCTTGAACTGTAGGCCTGGGTGCTGTTTCTGAGCTCTTTAGCTCAAGGCTAGCACTCTACCACTTGAGCCACAGCACCACTTCCAGCCTTTTCCATTTATGTGGTGCTGAGGAATCGAACCCAGGGCCTCATGCATGTGAGTCAAGCGCTCTACCACTGAGCCACCTTCCCAACCCCTCTTCCTCATTCTTGTCCTAGCTAACTTCTGGGTCCTCAGGTCTCATGGAAATAGACCTTCCTGACCATGTGTGCTTAGTATGTGCCCATTTGTCCAATGTTCCTGCACAGCCCCACTGTGAGGCTCCTGCTCCTCTGCTCACCTTGTTCCTGCTCATTCAAGCAAAATTCCTTCTCCTAAACAGGCCACGGGTTCTGTGGACTTTACCATCCAACTGGGTCTTCAGGCAAGTCATGAGGGGTACCCAGTAAAAATGTTTGTTATAGAACACGGCCATCACTACTACGAGAGGCAAAGGGGCACTGGTGGCTCACGCCTGCAATCCTAGCTACTTAGGAGGCCTAGAGCTGAGAATCATGGTTCAAAGCCAGCTCAGGTAGGAAAGTCCATGAGACTCTTCTCTAATGAACTACCAGAAAACCACACGTGGAACTGTAGCTTAAAGTGGTAGAGCTCTAGCCCTCGGCAAAAGAGCTCAGGGACAGCCCCACAACCAATTTAAACAACAACAACAACAACAAACAACCAAACAGGGACTAAATATTTATCAAGAGTCCTGGGATTCTCTGGCCACATATTCCTATTGAAGCAAACAAAGGGAAAACAGCTCCCAGGGATTTAGTACAAATGGTACAAAAAATGAACTGGGTTGCTGGGGCAATTGAAAGTATGGCACAGTAAAAAAGAGCACTAAATTGTGAAAAGTCCTGGCTCTCATTCTGTCCCCATCCAGCCCCTTCCTTTTACTGGGCCTCAGCTTCCCCGTCTGTTCAATGGCCAGGTTGGAGTCAATACATGTACATGAGTGATGTGGGGCCAACCTCCCAGGTTGGCTTAGTGGTAGAGTGCTTGCCTAGCAGGCATGAAGCTCTGGGTTTGATTCCTTGGTACCACATAAACAAAACAAAACAAGAGTGATGTGCTTTAAGATTTTAGACAGCTTGCTTGAGATTCAGTGTTTGCACATTTACTGTGTATTAGGAAAATACATCAAACCCATAACTTAAATGATATTGATTAGGATAAGGGGGAAAGAAGCTACTTTAAAAAAAAGAAAATGAGTTGCTTCCAAGGAAAGATTATGTTAAAATGGAAAGTGTAGTAGCAGTTATGAACCTATCAAATCTGATTGTTTCATAGAACCATACACACACAACAACCACAAAAAAACTGAGTGCAGATGAAATCCAAATGAGTGGAAGCCTGAGTCTTGGCAGGTATGGTATTGTGCCCTGTTGCTTTCCTGATTTTAACATGGAAGATATAACCCAGGGAACCCAGGGCAAGGGTAGATCAGAACTCCACACTATTTCTGTAACTTTCTGAGTTAAAATTATGTGAAAATAAATGTTACCTCCCCCAAAAAAGGGTCTAAACAATGGAAAGAACACCCAAATGATGAAGGACTGGAAATGTTTCTTGAGCAGCTGCTCAACCAATCACATCTGAATACATTCTGATGACCACATCCCCCAGGAACTCTCCAACTGACCAATCCCTACTCTTTTAACAGCTATTTTCTTGTGTGTATGTGTGTGTGCAAGTGTGTGTGGACACGCACGCCAATACCAGGACTAAACCTCAAGACCTAGGCACTGTGCCTTAACTTTGTTTTTTTGTTTTTGTTTTGCCATTCCTCGGGCATGAACTCAGTGTCTGGGCGCTGTCCCTGAGCTTCTTTTGCTCAAGCCAGCGCTCTACCATTTGAGTCACAGTGCTACTTCTGGCTTTTTCTGTGATGTGGTATGGAGGAATCGAATCCAGGGCCTCATGCATGCTAGGCAAGTGCTCTACCACTGAGCCACCTTCCCAGCTCTGTCCCTTAACTTTTCAGCTCAAAGCTAGCACTCTATCACTTGAGCCTCACCTTCACTTCTGGCTTTTTGCTAATTAATTGCAGATAAGAGTCTCAGACTTTCTTTCTCCAGGCTGGCTTCCAACTATGATGCTCAGATCTCGACCTCCTGAGTAGCTAGAAATACAGGTGTGAAACACCCTCACCTAGCTTTTATTTTCTGATCAGACATCTCTTTCCCTGGACAATGTACACTTTCTAAAGTGTGTTTTGGGGGATGCCTGGGTTTCTTAACGTGAGCTTGGGTCAGAGGATCTACCTCTGGGAAGGGGGTGTATCCCAAGCAGCAGATGGACGTTGGGAAACTGAGTTCCAGCTGCCCTTTGGCCGTACAACATGATAGGCCATGAGTTCTTCCAGTCCAGCTTCTAAAAGCTTTTACTTCCAGAGGGGCACAAGTGAGGTTGAGGCTGTGCCTAAGGTCACCCAATGGGCTGGGAGCAGGGCAGGAAACGCTGGACTAACGTTGTTTGCTATCTCAGGGAATGTAACCTTGAACTTGAACGACCCCCAGCACAGAAGCCTGTATAGACTTCGGCGCCCCGAAGGTCCCCCAGGAGACCTCCTGAGAGCGCCATCTCATGGGGGGTAGAAAGCGTCCTGCCCGGGCTGGCCGGTCCCTTCCTTCCCTCGTCCGGGGTCCGCCAGGGCTGAGCCCCGCAGGTCAGCTCGAGGGCCCGCGGAGCGACGGCCAGGCGGACTCCAACGCCCAGAGGAGGGGCCTCGCCGCGCACCCCGACGCCACCACAGAGCCTCCGGTCACCTGCATCAGCTCGAAGATGTGGTTCTCCTCCCCGTACTTGGGCATTTCCGGGGGGATGCGGTGCGGCGCCGTGGTCGCGTCCATGTCGGCCGCAGAGCCACTTGCTTCCTAGTAACCGCGTCGCTAGGGCGCGCTCCTTGCGTCATCAGCGCGCGCCCCGCCAGCTCCGCCCCCTCGAGCGCGCGGCCCCACCCTTCGCCCCGCCCCGTAGCACCTGCGGCGCGTGAGGTCCCGGGCTCCGGGCCCGGTTCTCTCCGTCCTGGCCTCGCCTCTCTGGCCCGGTCCTCTCCAGCCGGCATCGCACTTCCCCCTGTGCCTCCTAGCGGGGCCCCTCGCTTTCCCTGGGGTTCCAGGGTCACAGGGGTCCTCGAAGGGGCCCCTCTGTGTGCTCCCCCCGGCCCCACCCGCTTCTGCTGCCGCCGCCGTGCCTGGTCCGGGAGCCGGGCCGGGGCCAGCCCTGGATCTGCCTCCTGAGCCTCAGTTTCCCTATCCGGAGCCGCGGCGGGGCCGGGCGTTTGCGGCATCGGCGGCGGGGAGCGGGGAG